GAATACTAGAAAGGGCTGCCCTTCTAGCATCCAGCCTGTTACTGGGTTTTTGTAACAAGTAGTCAGTATCCTGATCCAATTATCCATTAGAATTCAGCAAGATTGAATAGTGCTTCAGGATTACAACTGGTAGGCTACTAACTAAAGAAATTAACATTTAATAAGTTTATTAATAACAATTGTCCAGGCGTATATTATCAAATTAAATTAATGTAATGAACATAGCCAAAATAATCAAATCTCTCGTGTACAGTAGTATTGTGCTGAAGTCACATATCACATCTTAATGACTTTTAAGTACCGTCTGGTACATTGTTAACATTTAATAACAATACAAATATATACAAGTAAGTTTCTGTGTATGTGTGTAAGTGCTCTAAGTAGTTCGCTATGTCTCAGGACTCGACTAGACGTAACCAGTGACTGACTATAAGTCCTCATATAAACTAACTTCTTGACCAACCTGGCAATCAGAACAGCTTGCTTGAACAATAAAACTACTTCAAGCCGAATAGCAATATAACAAGCAACAGCGACACAGAATCAGTAACAAGCAGAAAATATAACGACACTAAGTAGGGACCATCTGCAGATCCTCCACAAAAGTCACAAAACTCCCATACTACTGAATCTAAGTTCAGCATTAGAAAATCCCCGACTCTGACAGTGCACAGATACCAGTACAAATTAGGTCAGAAGCTACAGCTCAGGACCTGAGTTTCTCAGAGTGTCTAAGAGACACACAACCTCAGTACAATGTCGAAAATCACTAAGTCTAGGCTATGTTCTGTGAACAGAGTTACACAGAAGCAACAACAAGAAAGTGACAGAGACGATCTTCCAACAAGGGCCAGCATGGGAGAGCTAGGCACGTCTTGTTCGAAGAATGTCCAACAGAAAAGAGACAGCGCCTAGGCAGACTACTGCAGGTGAGATGTGATCACCCCCCTGATCACGTGACTCCATGCTGCTGCTGCCCAGCAACACAGAGAAGCCGGCAGCATAACGAGCACAACGATAGTTAGACAATGTTGTCAACTACTTAGCACTCGAACTATGAGCACTGAATAACATATATAAATGTTACATTCTACCTAATAATATAAATAAATCAAATAATAATATAAAGCAATATATTTACGATTTAGCTATTATCGCAAATATAAGCAATATAAAATTATAAGAAAAGGTAATATACATTATATACATTGCGACCCATTCAGGGGTCGCAATAAAGCCTCTGCCAAGACAGTGATGGAGTGAATGATGATGAAAGTGTTTCTTCTTCTTGGGTCACCCTGACTTGGTGGGAAACAGCCGATGTGTTAATAAAAAGTATTATTACTACTACTACTGCTACTACTACTATGACTACTACTACTACTACCACTATTACTACTACTACTATTACCACTGCTACTGCTACGACTGCTACTACTATTGCTACCACTATTACTACTACTACTACTATTACTACTACTACCTACTACTACCAGCACCACCATCACCCTACCATCACTGCCGTCGCAGCTACCCAGCACCAACCTCCTCTCTCATTCCCCCACTATGAAAATCCCTTACCCAGCCTCTCCCCACGTCCCCAACCCCCAACTTTCACCGCCCTTCTACTCCATCCCCCACTTCCCACCTCCTCCTCTCCTCTTCCTCACCTTCTCGCTTCCTTTCTTCCTAGACATCTCGTTCTCTCCTCTTTAAACCTTCCTTTCTCCCACATCCCTTCTCCCCTCCCTACTTATCTCCAATCACTTCCCCTTCTGCCTTTCTCCCCCTCATCCTTAACATCTGTCTTCTTCACCATCACCCTTTAACTCCCCCCTTCCCTCCATTCTTCCTTCCCCTCATCTAGTATCCTTGGTATGCCTCACTAGGCTCTTGGTATTCATACAGTGATCATGATGTAAGTGCTTCCAAAACTGTGTATCGGTAAAGTTTTTATTTAAAGTCGCTGCGGGTGCAGTTAGAAGCGCCAACTTTGACGGTGATCCTGTGCCAGTGTGCCATTAACAGTCCCGTTTTCCTTCCCTCTTTCAGTTTCATTATAATTTGGTGTAGTTTAGAAATACACTTAAACAAACGCAAGGACATATTTATTAGAAAGCGTTGCTGTCCTGGGACCTTGATCACTGGGCCCGTCATCAAGGTCCCAGGACCAAAACGTTGTCTAATAAATATGCCCTAGTGTTTGCTTACGTGTCTTTCTAAACCATCTCGTCGTTATCTATTACCAAGGTTTATACCATAATTTTGTATCCCCGACGGGAATACCATGAAGTGATCTTTGACGTTTTTTCCTCCTATCTCTAGGGTTTTCGTTCATAATTTAAAAACACTTCACCAAATCGGCTTCAAATTTTCTATTGTACTGTAACTTTGAAGTGGTTTGTACTGATCATTCCCTACATTAATCATTCCCGGATTTAGTTTCCTTGAAGTGCCTTGAGAGCGACTCTTCTAATCGGCTTCAAACTTTCTACACTGGTGTATCCAACCAGGAAAACAGTTCACATTGTTACTGGAGCGAGTTAGTGTCAATATGCCAAATTTATTTTTAAAATAGTGAACAATTATCTTTCGTAAAATTACATAAGTACGCTGATTCTGAAGATCACTGTAGAAGAAAATTTACTAATTTCCTAACGTGGAATCGTTGGTTTCTAAGCAATAACTGAAGAATGCTTCTTCTGGTCGACTTCAGACCTTCAGTGGTTTTGGGCTGCACTGAAACAGTCACATTGGTTTTCAGTTGTGTAAAGTTTAAGGTCATTTTTTTAAAACAAATTGATTTATCTGCAGTGAATGTAGAGCGACTTTTCTAGCTGCCTGGTGTGGCTTACCGACAAACATTTTCCGGTTAATCTAGGGTAGTTAAGCTGCTCATTTGCCAAAATTACCGAGTTGTGAAAAACTGAAATATAAGTTTCCATGTAATAATTTGTGAAAGCCTCGTTCGATCAGCTTCAAAGCTTCATTGTTGAGGTTTGTTACTTAGAGGAAGCTTAGAGAAGTCACTGAGATGTGCAGCTGCTGATGCAAACAATTATACTTCATATCCTTCGCCGTCTTGCCAGCTATCTCACAGGGCGTATGCAAATACTCGTTATTATATAAAATATTGTTTTTTCTAATAGGATTGCAGAAACTTCATACAGAATATAACCTGGAAAATAAAACTGAGAAGTATTGACAGACTGCGTTTTTAAATTTTCGATTTTTTTGAGCCGTATTTTAAATGGCGTATTTTCTACGGTTTTATTCCAGAGCCGGAACTCATACTCACATACAGTTTTATCTTTAACCCTCGAGATTTTTTTTTTTATAACTAGAGAACGCCTCACCTGATCGGATTCAATTTTACAATACTTGTATATTGTATCTACGCAAAGGTCCATGGAGTTATTCGGATGTGCAGGTGGCCTTCGGTCAACTTTAAACAGACGATTCCCGTTTTCGATTTCCGTCCAATAACATGTGATCGTTATTGTAGTGTTGCTCCAAACTTGCTGTTTTTACTTTTAAAATGGTGAATATTTTTTCTATGGAGTATCTTTGGTATGTCACTGTCAACAAGTTCACTCTTAAATACACTCATGAGAACTTTGTGTGTTAAGGCTGTGTTTGTTAATTTGACAGTCTTATAACATAGTTAATGAAGTTGAAAAATGTTGAGTTATGTGTGATAACTGAGGAACGCATCGTTTGATCGGTTTCAAACTTTTTGATTATTTTCAACTGGTTGTCATGAAATAATCTGAGAATGTCTCATTCGATCGGTTTCAAACCTTCACCACTGACAACTTGAGAATGTAACTTCTGAGCAGTTTCAAACTTAGTCTAGGTGTATTTTTGGATTTTGGTGTCTATACAATAACTATAGAATGTCTCTTTTGATTGGCTTTTATAAATGGCATATTATAATAAGTATAGATGGTTCCAGATGGTTTTGCGATTTTTATTGAGGGAAGAAGAATATTAGTTTCCATGTGATAACCTGTGAATGACTGCCGAGCGGCTTCAAATCTTCATTGCTTATATTTGACTGTATCAGAAACCTATGCTTCAACCTGTACTATTATTTGTTATTAATTATTATTATTATTATTATTATTATTATTATTATTATTATTATTATTATTATTATTATTATTATTATTATTATTATTATTATTAATAGAAGTGGTAGTAGTAGTAGTAGTAGTAGTAGTATTTATAATAGTGTTCAATGAACTGTTAGAGGGGGAAAGAGAGAGAGAGACGAGAGAGAGAGAGAGAGAGAGAGAGAGAGAGAGACAGAGAGAGAGAGAGAGAGAGAGAGAGAGAGAGAGATAGAGGAGAGAGAGAGAGAGAGAGAGAGAGAGAGAGAGAGAGAGAGACTATTAAAGCGAGACTGAACAACAGTAACTCATGTAATAACGTTTACATTTCATTGAACTTTCACTTTACAAAATTTTATGTGGGCGCTCAAGTTCTTGAGGAGCAAGACAGTGTGTGTGTGACAGTAACTTGCCGACGTTGATTAAGTGGAAGAGCTGCTTATGGTGCTGTCACAGTTGTTATTTACTGATGACTCGGATTTTTTTTTTTGGGGGGGGGGCGGGGGAGGGGGTAGATTCTGAAAGAAATTGAAAATTGAAAAATGGTATGGTGATGCCGACGAGATGTAGAAAAAAAAACTTACGTAGGGTCTATGACATTTATTAGAGTAAACATTTCGCTCGTAGCGGCTTCTTCTGGACTGTAGCAGCCGCTAGTGGAGGAACGTTTCCTCTAAAAAAAAATGTCCTGAACTCTACTGCGAAAGTTGGTGGAAAAATTTGGGTGAGTATGTCAGGGAAGATAACCTAAAGTGAACATAGAAAAAGCAAAGTGACTAGAATGACGAACAAAAAAATCTACCAGTTTTGACACTATAGTTTGCTATTAGATGCACCTTTGTCCTGGTTATCACTGGTTGATGTGCCTCTCCTGCTTCCTTCCCACAGATACTCTCCCAGTCCTCAAGTACCGGTTCATCGAGCAGACGCTGCAGCCAGGACCTTCTGTGAGCCTGAAGTGTATCGCCTCTGGGAGTCCCACTCCTTCAGTGACATGGACGCTAGACGGCTTCCCTGTCAAGCACTCCGACAGGTGAGGGAGAGAGGGGAAGGAGAGAGAATGATCCTCGTAATGTAATCTCTAACTCTAGTATGAAGATGAGTTAAAGATACTCATCATTATTATGACTGGTGTTAGGAGGAGATAAAGATACTTATCATTACTATGATTTATCTTAGGATGATATAAATATACTCATCATCACTATGACTGTTGTTAGGATGATATAAAGATACTCATCATTACTATGACTTGTCTTAGGATGAGATAAAGATACTCGTCATTCAGCAACGTTACGCATGTCCTCGAGTGACACTAGACTCTGCAATGACTATTAAGAATCACAGAACTACATGTTATAACTTGCAAGATAGAGAACCACCAGGAAAGCGCCCAGTTGACCCTGATGTGGAGTCCCAGCCTTGCCAAGCACATACAGAGACTTGGAAATATTCAATGGTTTGGAGCCCACACAAGTTCCTGAGGTGAGAGGAATGCAATATGGAGAGCGACTGAAGGAAATCGTTAAGATGTATCTCCTACATGAAGGTTGAAAAACTCTGTATGAGGCAAAAATTGACTAACAATGACTCACGAAATCGTAATAACATGATTGCAAACAAACCACGGAACGGGTGGGGTCTGAACCCCATTGAGAGTGAGTCCTAAAATTCCAGGCCAGTGCGTAAGCACCCCACCCGTTCCGTGGTTTGACTATCAGAAGCAAGTATGTTGCATTTTTAGAACATAAGCGCATAAGAAAGAAAGAACACAGCAGCAACCTTACTGGTCCATGCTAGGCAAGTTCAACTCACACCCACCCTCACCCACTCGTGAGGGTGGGTGTGAGTTGTACTTGCTACACAAGGTTCTATCATCAATGACGCTACTCAGGAGTTTGTTCCACTCTTACTCAAACTCTATTTCCAAATCGATGCTTTCCTATTATCCGTTATATTAGCTGCAGATTGTAGTTGTTATCCAGACACATCAAGACTAGACATATTATTTTAGCACAGCCTTCAACAATAGACATGTTCACAGCCATTCAGTTATTGATAAGATACACAAACTTCTCCATCTGGCCGTCCATAACCAGATGAAAGATATACCACAAAACTGAGACATATGTGCAACATCTGGGTATCTTTACTGTAGACGTTTCGCCATCCAGTGGCTTTATTAATACATATTCTAGGACATAATTTGAAGACAGTAGGACTATATACAGAAGATGAGGTAATCAGTCCCTCAGCCTTGGAGTTGGTGTGAAGAGCACCGTAGACTTGAAGATTCTGGAGCAGAGGCAAGGAGACTGGCGCTTATATACTAACGTCAGGTGGATTGGGACGGGTAGTAGACGAGGGCATAGTCACTGGTAGGCGGGATTCCCCAGTGGAAGTAGGTCATACCCAAAGAGATGAGTAAGTTGTAGTAGTAGTTGTAGTAGCCGTGAAGAAGGTCATGTAGATGTCCTTTGATCTCTCATCTTGTCGGTATTGTATACCATTCTTGTACAACTTGTCAGACACTGCAACATCATGGAATCTTGGTTCAAAGGACCATCTACATGAGCTTCTTCACGGCTACTACAACAACTACTACCACAACTTACCCATGCATTTGGGTATGACCAACTTCCACTGGGGAATCCCGCCTACTAGTGACTATGCCCTCGTCTGCTACCCGTCCCAATCCACCTGACGTTAGTATATAAGCGCCAGTCTCCTTGCCTCTGCTCCAGAATCTTCAAGTCTACGGTGCTCTTCACACCAACTCCAAGGCTGAGGGACTGATTATCTCATCTTTTGTATATAGTTCTATTATCTTCAAATTATGTCCTAGAATCTGTATTGATAAGGTCACTGGATGGCGAAACGTCTACAAAAAAGATACTCAGAAGTTGCACATGTGTCTCAGTTTTCATCTTGTCGGTATTGTATACCATTCTTGTACAACGATATACCACAACACGGGCCAGAAGAAACATATACCACAAGGCAGTCTAGAAGAAAGATACACCACAAGGCAGGCCAGAAGAAAGATACACCACAAGGCAGGCCAGAAGAAAGGTACACCATAAGGCAGGCCAGAAGAAAGATACACCATAAGGCAGGCCAGAAGAAAGATACACCACAAGGCAGGCCAGAAGAAAGGTACACCATAAGGCAGGCCAGAACAAAGATACACCACAAGGCAGGCCAGAAGAAAGATACACCACAAGGCAGGCCAGAAGAAAGGTACACCATAAGGCAGGCCAGAACAAAGATACACCACAAGGCAGGCCAGAAGAAAGATACACCACAAGGCAGGCCAGAAGAAAGGTACACCATAAGGCAGGCCAGAACAAAGATACACCACAAGGCAGGCCAGAACAAAGATACACCACAAGGCAGGCCAGAAGAAAGATACACCACAAGGCAGGCCAGAAGAAAGATATACCACAAGGCAGGCCAGAAGAAAGATACACCACAAGGCAGGCCAGAAGAAAGGTACACAACAAGGCAGGCCAGAAGAAAGGTACACCACAAGGCAGGCCAGAAGAAAGGTACACAACAAGGCAGGCCAGAAGAAAGATACACCACAAGGCAGGCCAGAAGAAAGGTACACAACAAGGCAGGCCAGGAGAAAGATACACCACAAGGCAGGCCAGAAGAAAGGTACACAACAAGGCAGGCCAGAAGAAAGATACACCACAAGGCAGGCCAGAAGAAAGATACACCACAAGGCAGGCCAGAAGAAAGATACACCACAAGGCGGGCCAGAAGAAAGATACACCACAAGGCAGGCCAGAAGAAAGATACACCACAAGGCAGGCCAGAAGAAAGATACACCACAAGGCGGGCCAGAAGAAAGATACACCACAAGGCAGGCCAGAAGAAAGATACACCACAAGGCAGGCCAGAAGAAAGATACACCACAAGGCAGGCCAGAAGAAAGATACACCACAAGGAAGGCCAGAAAAAGGTACACAACAAGGCAGGCCAGAAGAAAGATACACCACAAGGCAGGCCAGAAGAAAGGTACACAACAAGGCAGGCCAGAAGAAAGATACACCACAAGGCAGGCCAGAAGAAAGATACACCACAAGGAAGGCCAGAAGAAAGGTACACAACAAGGCAGGCCAGAAGAGAGATACACCACAAGGCAGGCCAGAAGAAAGGTACACAACAAGGCAGGCCAGAAGAGAGATACACCACAAGGCAGGCCAGAAGAAAGATACACCACAAGGCAGGCCAGAAGAAAGATACACCACAAGGCAGGCCAGAAGAAAGGTACACAACAAGGCAGGCCAGAAGAGAGATACACCACAAGGCAGGCCAGAAGAGAGATACACAACAAGGCAGGCCAGAAGAAAGATACACCACAAGGCGGGCCAGAAGAAAGATACACCACAAGGAAGGCCAGAAGAAAGATACACCACAAGGCAGGCCTGAAGAAAGATATACCACAGGGCGGGCCAGAAGAAAGATACACCACAAGGCAGGCCTGAAGAAAGATACACCACAAGGCAGGCCAGAAGAAAGATACACCACAAGGCAGGCCAGAAGAAAGATACACCACAGGGCAGACCAGAAGAAAGATACACCACAAGGAAGGCCAGAAGAAAGATACACCACAGGGCAGTCCAGAAGAAAGATACACCACAAGGCAGGCCAGAAGAAAGATACACCACAAGGCAGGCCTGAAGAAAGATACTCCACAAGGCAGGCCTGAAGAAAGATACACCACAAGGCAGGCCTGAAGAAAGATACACCACAAGGCAGGCCAGAAGAAAGATACACCACAAGGCAGGCCAGAAGAAAGATACACCACAAGGCAGGCCAGAAGAAAGATACACCACAAGGCAGGCCTGAAGAAAGATACACCACAAGGCAGGCCTGAAGAAAGATACACCACAAGGCAGGCCAGAAGAAAGATACACCACAGGGCAGTCCAGAAGAAAGATACACCACAAGGCAGGCCAGAAGAAAGATACACCACAAGGCAGGCCTGAAGAAAGATACTCCACAAGGCAGGCCTGAAGAAAGATACACCACAAGGCAGGCCTGAAGAAAGATACTCCACAAGGCAGGCCTGAAGAAAGATACACCACAAGGCAGGCCTGAAGAAAGATACTCCACAAGGCGGGCCAGAAGAAAGATACTCCACAAGGCAGGCCTGAAGAAAGATACACCACAAGGCAGGCCAGAAGAAAGATACTCCACAAGGCAGGCCTGAAGAAAGATACACCACAAGGCAGGCCTGAAGAAAGATACTCCACAAGGCAGGCCTGAAGAAAGATACACCACAAGGCAGGCCTGAAGAAAGATACTCCACAAGGCAGGCCTGAAGAAAGATACACCACAAGGCAGGCCTGAAGAAAGATACACCACAAGGCAGGCCAGAAGAAAGATACACCACAAGGCAGGCCAGAAGAAAGATACACCACAAGGCAGGCCAGAAGAAAGATACACCACAAGGCAGGCCTGAAGAAAGATACACCACAAGGCAGGCCTGAAGAAAGATCCTCCACAAGGCGGGCCAGAAGAAAGATACACCACAAGGCAGGCCAGAAGAGAGATACAATACAAGGCAGGCCAGAAGAAAGATACACCACAAGGCAGGCCAGAAGAAAGATACACCACAAGGCAGGCCAGAAGAGAGATACAATACAAGGCAGGCCAGAAGAAAGATATACGACAGGGCGGGCCAGAAGAAAGATACACCACAAGGCAGGCCAGAAGAAAGATATACCACAGGGCAGGCCAGAAGAAAAATACACCACAAGGCAGGCCAGAAGAAAGATATACCACAGGGTGGGCCAGAAGAAAGATACACCACAAGGGAGGTCAGAAGAAAGATATACCACAGGGTGGGCCAGAAGAAAGATACACCACAAGGCGGGCCAGAAGAAAGATACACCACAAGGCAGGCCAGAAGAAAGATACACCTCAAGGCAGGCCAGAAGAAAGATATACCACAGGGCAGTCCAGAAGAAAGATACACCACAAGGCAGGCCAGAAGAAAGATACACCTCAAGGCAGGCCAGA